TCGTATGTTCTCCAGTCCTTTGAGACTGGCCCTGCATATTTATCATCCCTTTGGCATGGCATAGTTGAGCAAATGGAAAAGAGATCGCAATTATCACCTGCGCCCGATGACGACATGATCGGTGTTCCAGATTGCAACTCCAGATCCCGCCCTGTGCTTAATTTGATGTCGCCCATCCTGGGCATTTACATGCAATTACCAAACAGCCCTACCTTGGTCTGATGGATTTATGAGACTGTAACCATGTGCAGGGGATGCACATGCCATACACCCCCCCACATATACATGTACTTTTTTTTTGTTCATTTTGAATCACAAGATCTCACATATATACCGTGTCTTTAGAACAGTAATAAAGGGAAAGGAATGCTAGGAAGGATGTGATGGGAGATTTTACTTCTGAATTAAAGATTGCTTTGAAGTCTACAGTCCCTTTTTCTTCATTTCACAAAAATGTCCATGTACCGTAGGGCTCTGTCAAACGTGAAATTTACAGCGTGGAACTGAACATTCCAAGTATTCATCATCACCGTAATAAAGAAATCTCTTTCCTGTCAAGATCGCGAATACATCCTCTAAAGCAAGTTTTAAAAAAAAATCAGAGCAGCTGCGGTTACATTTTACCCCCCAGACATTAACTCGTAAAAAAAATGTGTCGCACACAAAAGGGCTTTTCACAGAGAGCTCTATTAGTAGTGATTTCTCCCCGGGGTTCCGGATTGGGAGTGAGCTTTTATCGTGGTCACAAATGACCAGCAGACTGTGAAATCAATCTGTCTGCAAATGCGGGGGACATTTTGAAGGGGGGGGGAGGCAGTGAAGGGATATAGATGAAACCCAAGCATAGTCTGTGGAAGGGGGGGGGCCACTGGCACTTTGTGTGAAGAGATTGTAGGCCTAATTACTTCCTGGATTTCGGAATCCAGACGGGGGCTTTTTTGTTATGGGCCTTTACATGTCAGTTAATGTACACATTAAAATGTGATCCAGCTTCCGTTTGTCATATATCACGCCCTTTTTTTTCCCCTTTCTTTAATGTTTTCTGTTTTAGGGGGGCCTGAGGAATACCTCAAAGTGTGGCTCATGTCCAAATCGCTGCTTTGAATCGGATCCCCAATTTCTGGCAGTCTCCTATGGAGATTTTGTTTTGAAATTTGTCATACATGTATTTAACTGCCTTTTCTTCACATGCTGCATGTCGGCTAGAATCTGGATCGGGAGAAATTGCATGGTAAAGTGCAGAGTTATTCAGATTGCACTGTCAAGGTAAACGACCACAGTGAATTAGACATTGTCATGTGATCTCCGAGAACCCGAGATCCCTCGGGAGTCATATCTGAGGATACAGTGGACTTAATTGCACATGTAAAGCACCCCACATTGGGAATAGTCTGACTGGCCGATGGGTAAACTCAACATAACACTGTATGACATCTCCATTTGCAGAGGTCATGCACGATGCTGGTAGACTGCTTCAACCCTCACGTAGGCCACGTCACTCAAAAGTCAGAAAACTCGCGAATGTAAAGAAAGTCCAACAAATCAAAAGTGCATCAGATTCAGATCCTGAAGACTTTTACGTCCTGTCTGTTGCACCATCTGGTTACTGTCGTGGGGGGAAGAACCGAATAGTTATACAAATGTATTAAAAACTCCTGCAGCTTTGAAAATGATTGCCTGGCCCTCGGTCAGCCGTGCGCTGTGTATCACCCGGTATCCCGCTCCCCATCAGACAGTTGCCAGACAGCGCTGACAAGTTTACAATGCCGCATTTGAGACCTGAAGTCCAGGGACCAGGATTCTGATGGGGGAGAGTACCAGCAGCCGGGACATTCCAGACAGGGAGGTCGGGACATCGGCTGGCTCTTGTCGCCGCTGCTGGCCCCGGCTGCCTGCCGGCTGTGAAGTGGATGGCCTGGAATGGCCTAGATGTGCGCGCCCCGGTGAACTCTTGGCCCCTCGGTTTCGTTCTGCCATGGTTAGGGCTTGCTACAGATACTCAGTGATGAAGATGATGATTCCGCAGTGTGAAAAAAAACTAGAAATGTGCTTTCTCAGGATTTTCCCAGATTTCAGGATTTTTTACCTAAAAATTGTGGATTTGGTTTAAACCATTCAGGTTTTGATTACTTTGTACTGACAATATTAACAAAACACTTTCTCAAAAAAAAAGTATGCAAAATTCACATAATCTTAGCCATTTGGGAGTGAACTTATATCTCGTTAGCTATAAAAAGCTCTGAAAAATTCTGGCATTTTATTATTACAGTGGATATTTTGTGGATTTCCGTTCCTCTTCCAATTCCACCCCTAAGCAGAGCATTTACCTTCTCATTCAAACTGGGGAATGTGTACTCATGTATTACTGTAAGTACGGTATTGAAACCTGTACCCACTGAGATCATCTAAGAATAAAGGGCGCGCCCCAGGGACCTACCCTCCCTCCCCCGCCAAAAAGAAAGAAGAAAAAAAAAAAAGGATTTATATTCAAAGGTAGCACATTTAATCCAGCCCCCGTGTTTTGAGGCAAACCTACAGCCGGTAATGAATGAAAGTCGAACCCCTCCCCCGTAAAAAGTAAGGCGTACAGCACACTGAGCAAACACGGCTCACAAAGACTCACTCCAGTTTCGTTCAAGCCTTACAAAGTTGTACAACTCGTGAGATTTTCCCCATCTTTTTGTCTGGTTAAGGTCGGATATCTTGTAAAATTAGAAGGAATGAACGGCCAACGTGCCGGTGCAAACGGTAAGAAAAAACCGTGTGGGCGGAGATTGATAACAGTGAAGAGTTGTGAAATTGTCTTTGGCTTGAATGCTTTGTTGTCATGATTAATTCCTCATCCCACGTGCATTCTTGGGCTCAAGATTAGCCTTTGAAACAGCTGATACCTTGCAACGGTCATGGGTATGAAGAGTTCCGACGACGTGTCAAAATAAAAGGTCAACAGTTCAGCTAACAGCCCCTCACTGATAAAACTGGGACAGCCTATTGAATTTCTTCCATATTTGCCGTCTATTCAAAGCAGTTTTCCTGCTTTGCTCCGATATGTCTTTCCCTCACGCAACCTTCCGTACATTATAGCATCGTTTCGTTTGGTTTCTGCCACTGCCGCATTATTTGCCATCCAGCTAGGCAACACAGCGCCCGTATCAAATGTCACTTGAGCCTGTCTTCTCCACTGCCCATTTTGATCATGTAATTGTTTCGTCTCTGCCATTGAACATTCAATCCATCGGTCACACTTTTCACTCTCTAATGGATATTGAATACACGTAAGGTAGACGTTTCCAGGCAGGACATTGCGGATATTTGGTGGACAGGCAGTGTGCCACGCATCTTAATCGGGCTTTTAGTGAATTAGTTTCACCAGGGAGGGATTTATTTGGCATTCCTTTCTGGGGTAGCCCGGCCCACTCATCAGCCCCCATCACTTATATCAAGGAACTGTTCTCTCCTTCCGAGTCTGGCTTTTGTACTTTAAAGCTACATGTGGGATAGCAATCCAACAAAGAAAAAAGTCACGTTGTTTTACTCTCTCAAAATCTGCATTGTACTTGACCTTGTTTCAGGAGGAATGAGAGACCTAAATGGAAGGGAAAAAAATTTCTTTCCTCTCAACTCAGGTATTCATTTCTGAAGAAACTATGAATCTGGTCATGTGTTGGTTATGTAAACTAACTGCATTTTTTTTTCATTTGTAATTTTTGACGCTCAGATGGTGGGTCTTGCTGGGTTGATTTTTTTTTTTGAAATCTCATCGACATTTTTTCGTTGAACCGAAATTTAGAATTCTCTTACTCTGACACAATCATTCATTGAACGATTTAGTGTATGAATTTGTTTATGAGTATCCTTTGCTTCAACTTATAACCGGCATTGTGTTCATTGTCATGAGCATTTTAGAATGTATTAATCCTGTTTATTGTTACCGCTAGGTACGTGTTTGCCTTCATTCAGAAAGACCGCCAAGCCGAGGCTCTGGTGGAGAAACTGTGTCATCGCTTCCGAGCAACAAGGTGAGTTAAAAAAAAGGATTCGTTGATTAAAATTTTCTAAGATTAAGGTCAATTTTTTTGGTTTGTAGTCTAAAAGAACAGTGAATATTTGGACGACAGTGCGTCATGACAAACGTCAGGACAACTCTTGAGATTTCGTATAGCGTTGTGAAGAAAGCTGTTGCAGAAGTTCTAATTGTAAGAGTCTAATGTTGCTGACTCGCCCTGGGAATAAAGTTAAACTTGTCTTCATTGATAGCCTGAGAAAAGAAGGATCCACTGATTTCAGATAGCGCCGTCACTTAAAATTCACTGCTGCAGTGGAATGAACGCTGCCCTATTTAGACCATCGTGAGAGATTTTTATGTAATGTTCTCCCACGGTTAGCCGCACCAAGGAGCTGGTCTTACTCTAAATACACCTCCGATGGGAGCTCTAGGGTTTTCATTGTCGACAGTGTATGATAGTGTTTGCAAGCTCTAAAGCATTCCACACGTACAGTATGTACCTATTTTGAGTGAAGAACCGGAGCTCATGCAGTGCTTTTCTTGAGGAGGGAGGTGTTTATAGGTTTTATATCCGCTCAGTGTTGGTCATGTTTTTATTGCTGTAATGCGCCATCATTGAATTTCCCCCTCAGACTCGTGCTCGTTCGTGTAGATCTGAAATATGACATCGTCAGCCTTGTTTTTCCTGCTTGATGAAAACTTGCCGCAGCTTAAACGTACTTTTATGAATAGTTTGGTCTGCTGAAAACCGTCCCAGTTAAGCAGCCCAGCAGGGCTCAGTAGGGTCTGTCTTGCGGGCCCTCATACGGGGGGCCGGTCATTTCTTTCCAGAATGCACATGGCACAGCCTGCCTTGGGGTACCAGCAACCAGCTGTGGGCACACTATGCATTAAATGAACATTTCAAAGGGGGATGGTCATCGCACTACTGAAGCTGCCAAACGCTCCAGTCGTCCCCCCTCCCCCACCCACCCATTAACAGTACCTCGTGGCCTACTGACCAGTACCCACCTTCTCCATGTTTGGAAACCTGATGACTCTTCTTTACAATCAACTTTACTATCAATGTCCATCTTAATTGCAAGGTGTGACGCAATCCCTCCATCTGGTTATAATTCATGTAAATCCACCCTGGTCACGCAGCGCTTTCATCTCTTAATTCCTATGCATACACACTACACAAACCTTCAGGTTCTACCAGTCCCCGAATAAAAAAAACCCAACCGTCCAGGTACTGGCTGTGATTGAAATCCCTAATATTGATTCAGACGGCGTCTTTAGTGGCGCTAATGAAATCGCCAGCTCTTTCAAGCTCGCTCTCGCTCACCTCTGTCCCACATTAACCCATCTCAGCTGTTACCGTTGTCCAGCGCACAGCGCACTCGGGTTTATCCAGAATACCCCTAAGACTGTGCTGTCACCTTTCATACACATCGAAAACTGCCCCTGCAGCAAGTGCAGTGTGCCCACAAGAAGCCTGGAATTGCTTTCTCCCTCTGTGATGTGATTCCCGGTAGATCAGTTTCCCATGGAGTTCTTTTCTTATTCCAAGTCATTTGGGGCTCTTGTTAAACCGAGTTTGTAGTCTTTCTTCCAACCCACTTGGCTCACTTATTGTGCTGCTTCATCTGTGCTGGGCTACGGTCGTCTCTGTCGGTCTCCTGGAGCATTGACAAGATTAAGTTGCATTAGGGTTGTGTGCGGTGACAGTTAGTCTCTGAGAAAGATATTATTCCGAATAAAAAAATGAGCTTCAGGGGTAAAAGATCTTTTTAGTGAAGCAGGAAAAAAAACCAAATTTGCCGTACCCAGCGAATATGAAAAAGGACCTGTACCATACATGTAGTGTAGTTTAATATTCAGTGATACTTGTAAATGGGTAATTCCAGGAATTTTAGGGTTCCATTTTTTTTCATGTCCCTGTCCCATCTCACATATGATTTTGTAAGTTCAGAACACATTTTCTAATTTCCAAGAGTGATGAAATAATGTAAAGTATCTGCCAAACAAGTAGTAATAGTTTGAAATCCATTCCCGACATTTCCACGCCAAATAACAAATGTCAGATGTAACAGGGAGGCAAAAATGTCACACTTTTGGACCCCTAATTTCTGGAATTAACTATATCAATCATGCTACGGTACTTTCTTAATTAGTATACAGTACCTGTATTTGCTGTTTTCGTCTCTGACCACCAAATGATTTTCTATAGAAAAAAAATTCAGTTTCTTTCAACCTACAGACTGAAGATTACAAAACCAAAGAAAACCCCACTCAAACATGAAATTGATATGGAAGGGGCAGTTGAAGCGGAAGCAGGGCTGTTTTGTCAGACCCTCTCCCACACACACACAATGTTTGCTGATTGATTGATTGATCATTTGCATCTTGACGTAGAGGGATTACCAGGGAGCTTGGGGGGCCAAAAAAAACTAGGTCAAATGGTTCTCTTGTGGCAGTCGTCAGGGTGGAAAACCTGGTTAATCTTTTTTTTTTCTGGAGGGGCTGGAAAAAAGCTGTGTAATATCCCAAAGCACTGACAGCGTTGGCCACACAAAGCTCTTCATGAATACAACCAGACGTTGCTTTTGCTCCCAACCATCCGGAGGATTATGAAGTATAATCCCTGACATGCATCAAGACAAGTGCATGTCCCTCTATATATTCATGTGTACTCTCTCTTAAGATGTGTCAAAGAACGTGCATGGTACTTTATATGAGGGGTAGGCAGAGGAATGTGGATGCATTTCCAATCTTGGGAAGTCCCGGGATTTGAGCGTCTAGGCTTACGGTTTGAATGCGGTTACTGTTGTTGGGAGGGGGGGGAGGTTGGGAATTGCAGAGTATATGGACGGAGACATCTCCCAGCGCTCTTTTTAAGAAATGTCAGATTGCATTGGAAAGTCAGACTGTGAAATGTCTCACTAGGCAAACCAAGGGGTTTAAGTAAAAGAGGCTGAGGGATTTGGGAGGTTGCTTGTGTCTTGACAGATCAGTGGCCGAGAAATATTTGTTGAGCTCTGATGTTATTAGCCGTCGGGGTCACTGTGTGCTGTCGTTTGAAAAACATCTTTCGCATAAATGGAAAGTGTAATTAAAATACTTGCCAACTGTTGGGGCCGATTAGGAAGCTTCTGCCTTCCCCGCACACATTCCACACCAGCTCACTTCTCATTATTTGTCAGTTAGAGCGACTGTGTACATTCAGCTCGGTGTGATTAGCGCTAATTTGCTGTCCGATCAATCGGCATGCGGGCTCTGGGCCCTACATCTCCCGGGAGTCCTTCAGCAAGCCTAATGGGCACCAGGAGAGGAAGGGTCATCCGGCTGGAGGGTGCACTCAAGATGCCTCGCCAGAGGTTGGCAAACATGGAGCTAAAAAAAAAAACCACCAGAAACACAACTCGAGGGTGTGTGGGATGCACAGCGCTCACGCTGGCGTTGCATGGTGGGGGGGATATTGGGAACATTGTCCGAGAATGACCCCAACTTAGCGACATTATTGCAAGCTGTAGGAGCCACTTTTGAGTTCAGAGGCCCTCAGAAGAGTATCGCGCACTGTAAATCAGGAAGCATCCTGGACATTTTCATCTGCATATTGTCCATTTTCACCAAGATCAGGGGGGGTGAGATTTGTCCTGATTCTTCCCGATTCCAGGATTTTTTTTCCCCATCATGGTAGTCCCGAGTTTACCTCCCGAGTGTTTTTCCGCTAAGATGTCAAGCATTAAAGACATGGGTTTTGAAGGGATGCCTTGAGGCAAGCATAGACCCTGCCATATGCAGCAAGGTATGAGATGGAGAGAACCCCCCCCCCCCTGCTTTGTGTTGGTCATTGTCTCGCGGGAATCTGGGGAATTCCTTTCAGACATCTTGGGGGGGATGTGTCAAGTAACAATACTCTGGAATGTGTATAGGGATTGGACATGTTGGGGGGGGGTACCACTCGGTCTCATTTCTTGCTGGGTATAGACCCTACACTGCTTGTGGGGCAATCCCCATTGATGATTATGTTTGTAGATATTTCATTTTGCCCCTGTCCTCACCCCTGCAAGATGTCAAACCGAGTGATGCAGTGAAGCAAAGACCTCATTGCTGTCACTCGTCCAGCCGTCTGTCCTGTGGACAGGCAAGAAATCAGATTGGGCAGGCAGTTTTTGCTTGTTCAAGATAATCTACAAGGTCAAGGTTTCTGATATAAATCTTTTGACACTGGTGAACAAGTCTTCCATATTTTCCTCCAAAATTCCGGTACCGTGAAAATATGGCCTCATATAGCAACAAGGGGTGTCAGTCACACAAATGTGATCTGTCCCAACAAAAGAGTAAAGCCGCATCTGGCTCTTTTGTATTTCGAGGGTTCAAAGTCATATTGAAGTGGAGGTCAATTTGGGGGTTTTGTAATATTTGGAAAGAGTAAAACAGTCTATTTAATTCCAAATATTTCGCAGAATCACGTATTTAAAAATGTCATTTTCTCAGCAATTTTGACGATAGCATTATTTGTGCCTGGTCTGAAATGTTGAAACAATGTCGGGAACACAGACACAAAGCTGCCCGAATAATGTCACCTTGTCATCTGATACCTTTACCCAAAGTGTTCCATGTGCATACCATTGGAAAGCTCTCTTTCTGCTGAGTTAAAAGAAATACCAGTATCTCAGTTCTTGAAAATTTCGACTTTCAGCTCATTTTGTGGAGACAGGTCACAAATTTTCGTGGGCGAGGACAGGCATTTTTTAAGCTCGACTGGGAAGGGACAGGCAGGTGCTTTTCCTAGATGAAACCCAGGCTAAATGTGCTGGGGGTTTTTTTTTGGTTTTTTTTGCATACCAAAAAACCCTGAAAAAATTCCAGAGTGACTGCTTTTGTTGGACTTGGTCACTTTTTTTTTTCAGGGGGAAACAGACCACTGAAAAATCTTCTTTGTCCAAGTGTGGGTGGTACTATAGCAGACCTGCCAGCCCTGCCGTACTCCTTCCTGGGGTCAGGCAATACCACACAATAGATTAAAAGGTATTTAAATGAGCGCTCAGTTGATTTAAAATTTTCATCGAGTTTGTGGCGATGCCTGACCTCAAGGAGGAGCACGACAAGGTTGGCAGGTCCGCCTTGTGATGCTTGCTGGTGATTTGTGTATCCAACAAAATCAGAGTCTATGTCTATCGAGGTAAAAATAGAAAAGAACTAGATACCTGACTCCACAACATACGGTGCATTTGTACCGAGGGCAGGTGACCCCCCTGGTGCTGTTTGCCATGCGCCTCGGTATCCTACCTTGCTGAGGCTCTACACGTGATTGGCCCTAGTCCAGAAGTCCATGCCTGCAGCAAACACAGTGTGCAAACCTTGCCACTTATGTGAGGAACGGAGAGCAAAAGAGGTCCGCTTAGTGCAGGTTGTTGTTTTGTTTAAACTCAGGTGCACTTTTTCACACACTCACACAGAGTAGTGCGCTAGTCGTAAGACTCGCAGCTGTTTTGGAGAGGGTTAATTCAAGCCGTGTTGCCGGTAGCTGTGAAAAGGCTCTAGAAACTTGACGTTTTTTTGTCATTGTTAATAACACCTCCGCTGGATTGTTTCATGGAGTTCTCTTCATCACTCAGTATCGCCCCCTACTCCGCCCCGTCCACACCCCAGTACCTACTCACGTCCCCCCCCATTCACTGCTACGACTCCTACTTCAATTCCCACTTCTACCAAAAAACAAAGTTTTACGTTGTACGTGTCATCAATTTGTCATTACGGTCACTCCTGCTGCCCCCTCCCCTTCACAGGACCGACAGGCAGCCCCAGGACCTAGCCTTCTGCCTGAGCCTTCTCAACATGAGCGAGAAGTGCGTGCGGCGCCTGCAGGAGAACCTGGCCTGCTACGCCGACAAGCTGCACGACGCCGAGGTCTACGCCTGCTTCGCCTCCATCCTGTCCAAGGCCAAGAAGTTCTCCAAGCCCGAGACCAAGGTATGGCTCCAGACTCTGTTGGTCGCTGGCTGTTGGGTCTGTCAAACTCCATACCTGTAATGGTGTGTCTGGAGAGTCTTTAAACGTTTGTTCTTCCTTCAATTGTGAGGCTGCTCTAGATCAGCTCTAATCTCTTAATTATCCTTTACTACAGTTTTTTTTTACATTTGTATGAGGTTTTTGATTGTTCAGTTCATTAATTCTGAGGTTCGTACCGAGTTGTAAGCATTCTGCACTTCACTGCTCATTGCCAGAACGTATCAGAGGGGTAGTCCGGTCTCCCAATTCACCCTTTGATGTGTCTCCTGCTCAGACACAGTCCTGATTGTTTGTCTCTTCCTGCTGCGGCTGCAGGTGATGGTGGAGGACTTTGAGCAGAAGCTGGCCGAGTGCCACGACAAGGGAGTGGACGACGCGGCCGCGGCCGACAAGGCCAGCAAAGCATCGGCCGCCGCCAAGGCCAGGGACAACGGTAGCCGTTCTGGTGAGTGCGCTGAACATTGAAGCACAGGAGAAGACAATTTTTTATTTTTTTTTCAGGGGCAGAGAAGAAAGCCAGGGATGCTGGTCACGTTCTCGTCCAGAGTCTAAAAATAAAGCCAGGGAGGCCTGTATACATACATTAAGACCTGAAATAAGTCCGTCAGTTTGCATGAAATAAAACCTGCAACTAGCTTTTGTCCAAAAACAGGTGTCACTGGGAAGGGTACCAAATCAACAGAACCAGTTTCCTTATTTCAAACCCAGTCTCAAATTTTGTTATCACACTGTTGTGAAAATATTGCCCTCTCCCCTTGACAAATCCTTTTGCCTTCATACACACTCTCACTTCCCCCTGCTACAGGAAAGTATGCCCCCGTGCTGGGAGGTATTTGAGAGATGTCTGTTATGAGTTGGGACACTGTAGGAGATCCGGTTTCCCAGTTATTTTCCCCTTATTTCCTGGAGAATTTGGCATCCCCCGGCGATGCAGCATGTTCATCGGCAGAGTCCCTGTCCGTGTCAAGCGTGTGGAATCTCAGCCTGGGTGTCATTTTACCTAAGGCATTACATGTCTCGACAATAACATGTCGTAACATCTGCACAGTATTTACGTTATTAAACAAAGACTCCCTTCTGCATTCTCCCCCAAAGACCTGCGGAGTTACTTCCTCCAAGAGAACATTTCTTTTTTTTTTTCTTTTTACCCTGCACAGTACACTTGACATTTAAAGTCCCGACCCCCCCCCCCACCTGAGGCTCGATCTTCATTTCCTCACTGTTGGACAAGCGGGGTTGAAGCCTGTATTAGAGAATGTCGCTGCATGCGCACTCGTTCATTCCTTCATTTGGGGGAGTCACTCGATCCCAGCATGTTAAACGCCAAGAGGCTTTCCCACTCAAGAGAAACTTTTTCTCTCTCTCTCTCTCTCTCTGCTGATGGGGCATGTCAGATGCACGAGAAATGCGTAGAGACAAATCATGTTAGGGATGCGAAAACAGAACCTCTAACCCTCAGGGTTTGTTGTAAATCACATAAACTTTGTGAGATTTCGCATGGTTAATAGGGCTCAGATTTTCACACACATGAAGGTGCTGAGATTGAAGACGCCACAGAAGTAAATTAACTTGCAGCAGGGTGGAGATTAGGATCTGGTATAGCCCGTGTGGTTTGCTTTGGTGATATTATCTCAGAGCTACACCGCTGGTGCATACTGAATCGACCGGAATTTTTCTAAAATACTCAAACGTGTGTTTGCACTTTGGATTGGATTATTATCAAATGTTATCACATTACAAAATGGACCTATGAATGCAGCATTTTCTACAAGCACAAGTCCGCTGCTGCATTCTGCCTCCAAAGAAAGGTTTTGGGGACATGGAAAAGATAAATTTAAAGCACCAAGGCACAGTACACCTACAACTTTTGTTGTTTTTTTCGACAGTCATTTCCATTTGTTAGAAGCATGTTGTATTCTAAAGGTTTAAATTTAACAAATTTACTAGAAATTAAGCTAGGTACTGTACACGGCAAAAAACACTTTAAATTGACATAATAAACTGTGGCATTGATTTGAAGTAAACTCATGCAGGAAATTTTCCGTTCTCCACGTCTCATTCGAAATGCCGTTGATGCTCAAATAATTCCTTTACTCGTCCATGTCACATCAGCCAAGAAAAGGAATACCAAACGGCGTGGCCGTGGCAAGTCATCCCTCGACAGTGAAGACGAGGAGGAAGAGGACAACCAGGCCACCACTACTCCAGCCCCATCCTCGCGCAAGCCCAGCCACAGGGGCCGACAGACCACTGAGCAGAAGACCCAGGGGACAGCCGGGAAGGGGCGGCGGGTGAGGGCAGTGACCTTCTCTAGCGACGAGGAGGACAGCGACGAGCTGTTTGGGGCCGGCGAGAGAGAGAACAAAGCCAAAGGTAAGACACCTAGTTCTGTACATGTATCTCAATGTAGAGGACGACCTTTAGAAACCAAGGATGTTACAGTGGGTGACGGAAAAGGGAACGTGAGAAGCAGTTACAGTTCTAAAACTGTAAGAGGCGGGAGGAAAGGCCAAGAGGAATATACTGGGTAAAACCCGTGGAATCGGGTAGGGACTGAAAACCCAATTCAGATGTGGACCAAGCCGGGTGGGGGGTTGGCTGGTTGGTTGGTTGGACAATGCCTAAGGTGAGGGTGTCGCTGTGGACTGGCTTGGCAATCAGAGTTGGAATTCGTTACTGTTGTGTTCTGGTACAATGCTGAAGCCGGTTGACATGCATGAGAGTATTCGATGCCATCATTTTATTTTTACTTGGGACAAACAAAAAAGCCTAGAATATATATTTATGAGGGGGGGTGGTGACTGGGGAGGGGGCATTAAAATCCCTGAAATCTGGTCCACGATTTCCTACCAACAGAGAGTGTCCCCTCAGCTGGCTCGGGTACACACATGTACGTGTCAGTGTTGTGAGAGTTGTGCCTCACTGCTGGGTTCAGGTGGTGAAACTCATCTCAAATAAAGGAAAACCAATCCGCACTGGCCAGTTCTCATTTGAGTCGTAGGTGTCGGTCTGTTTCCTGGTGCGTGATCGAGAAAACTCGCATTGACAGATGCACGCCATCTTGCCCATTCTCAGTCTGACGATCAGGGCAGCAGGCTGAATAAATCACACCCTTGGAGGCAGTTCCGGTGATCCCTCCGCTTACTGTCCGAGTGGTTTGGCAATCAAGTCCTCCAATGCATAATGAAACATGTTCTTTTCTTTTTTTTCTTTTGCCAATAACTGGGTCCTGCACGCTCTGGTTGATCCAAAGCCTGCAAGTTATCAAGATAATTGGTACTCTGGTACAAATTGTATGCATGTATACCCAATTACGCTATTAGCGGTTTCGTAATGTCCAAGCAAAATACCAGGCCCATCCATTACAGCGCGGAAGACTAATCTCCTTGGACAGATTACATGCACCGCATCTTGGCTCAGTTCCTTACAAATCATAGGCTTCAGTTTACTCCGTGGGGAGTTGGTGCACCAGGCTCTTTCAAATGAAGTTCTGCAGCCATAAAAAAAAAAACAAAATCACCCCATTTTCCTGGTCGCGGGCTGTCATTGTGTCCCTTGAAGAATTCCAAAGACTGAGTGAGCACTAGCATTTCTCTCTGAAAGTCTGGATATTCCAATGTGAAATTTGCGAGGAGATTTTCAAGGTTGTCTTTGTCAGTCCAGTCTGTGTGATCTGTAATTGTTCCCGACATGGCACAGAAGCCATTCCTGCTTCCCTGTTCAAGTGTAATGGAATTACCTGCACCTATGGGCCATTTTCCAATACTCAACTTCGGCTCCGTCTCAGGCTTCGACTGTTTTTTTTTACTACCTGACTTTGAAGCTGTGAGCGCAGTAATTAGTCTAAAAGTGCCACAGAACATCAAAGAAGATGCAAGAGAGCAAAAACTTACAGTAATCCGATTTGATTTAAACGCTTCAGGCTCACAGTCGGGGATTGGTTTCGGGGACAAAGCCTGAGACGGAGACGAAGTTGAGTATTGGAAAACGGCCTGGTGCTGCGTCACAAGCTGTCATGGCAATGCTCCATTTTCCTTCGCAAAGCCTCACAGAGTTTTGCAACCATCTCCCCCTGGACAACCCAAACCCCCCCCCAAGAAAAAACATCAATTCACTCTGGCGAGCAAGTATATACAAACCTCTATTTAATGTTTCTGCCGGTTAGAAATCAACTTCTTTCCATAGAATAAAACAAGAGCTCCCAGTGGCACTATCTGTGAAGGTGCCAAAAGAAAAAAAAAACAGACACACGGCGGAAATGAGACTTGTCACCCTTCAAGTAGAGTGTAAATGGTGTGTACACAGTGGTTGATGTCAGGCATGGAGAGCGTCGATTTCCAACACGTCTTGTACAGAACTCTCTCTTCCTTACTGGTAATTTTTTTTTTCCCCCTCCAATTGATCCGATCCTCTCAGATTCGGCTTTTGATCCGGCTGAGGAGAAGGGCAGCAGTGACACCGAGAACAGGGACCCTACCCCCACCCCGCGGGGCAAGGGCAAGACAAGGAAGTTGCACAACCCCAGGGGAACCCCCAAGGGAAGCCCCACCCCCTTGTCTCACCAGAAACAGGTTCATGCTACGTAAACGTTACCAGGCAGTCCAGTGAAAACTGATTGTTGTGATGTTTTCGTTTTCGGATAATCAGTGACCTATGGAAAGGGCAAATTCCAGTCAGCATTGGCAGTCTGATAATGACGTAATTGTTGATTCGATAAAATAAATTGCTTTTGACTAATATTATACGTGTAGTTTTTATAGTTTGCTTTTTGTTTTAAAGGACAGGTTTATCACTTTGTGATCAGTTGATATTTAGAGCCTATTTTATTAGGCCATTTGTACCTGCCTTATTAGTCGCTTGTGTAGGCTGATTTACCCCTAACTCCCTAGGATGTATGTAAACTCGGAGGATTGAGGACTGTTAAGGGTTAGACATTTGAGATGGATTATCTCTTATTCTCTCTGAAGGTTCAACGTGGCACCGTGCATCCAAGATAAAGGTCACAGTATTCTTACTTGGGGCACAGGGACAGAACAGACAAAATGTCATTTGAGGCGATAGTTTCAGGGATTCAAGCGTGAAAAACAAGTACATTACTCGTGCTTCGTAATGACAGGTTTGTTTGGTCCCAGCTTTTCCCACATGCTCCCCGAGGAGTTCGGAAAAATCATTTTTAAACCGTGCAATCCTGTTCAAGGAGAGCAAGCAATGCGTNGAAAATTAGCGACCGGACCTGAGCAGACTGCAATCCAGTATCTTGTCATCGGTGTGACAGGTGGATGTTGTAGAAACCAAGATCTAGCAATGCACACTTCATGTACAGAAAAAAAAGCACATTCTTGTAGCAAAAAACAGCATGCTGTGAGCTTTAGATATGCATGTACGCTGTCCTTGTATTCTGATTCAAGGTATATTAGATAATGACCACTGAAAATTTGGGTATCAAAGGCCACATACCAGTACATGTACGCTGCAATGTCGAGGTATGCAAACTACTCTGTACATGTAACACCCCACAATGGCTGGCAGGTTCTTTAAAACTGACGATCAAAGTGTATTTTCTGAAAGGTGGCACATCAATCTGGAGACGAGGACGGGAAAAATGCTTCCCAGGTTAGGCGTTTACAGCCCTCTCTGCCGACGACACACAGGCGACAAATAAGATATGATCAGTGCGGGCATTTCTTCTTCACACACGCAGCGTGAGATGTAATGGTGTGAAGAGGTTACACATCAAGGCCTTCTGGGTGTATTCGTTTCGCACTCCACTTTCATAAATCCAAGACATGGTGATGGGGTCCCATTTATTGGTCGCAAAGGGCTGTGTTTGTTAAATTTGAGTAATCTGACTTGTAGATCCAGTTAGACACGTCGGTTAATGTAATTCTGGTTTACGTAAGGTTACCGTGGAAAAAAATATAAAATGTTGAAGATGCACGTCGATGAACATTAATCCGGAGCAAAACCTGAAAAACATTACCCAAAGTGGACTTTGTTAAGTTTCCTAGAGTGCCTTTTTTCCCCAAAAGAACTTGATTAAGGTTATATAAAAGATGGTACTCTGCTGGCAGGATTGTTTGGCTATAACTGCTAATCAGGGAGAAAAAATCAAGCCAATAAAGTGCGCTTACAATTTGAAACAGTTAAAACAAAAAAAAAGGGGGGGGATGAATATTATTGCACGTTGACAATACCAACAGATGACTATGAAGGGAGCAAAGAAACTCCTCTTCTGGCCCAGGATATTTGACAGGAAAAAAAAATGCCGTTGTCAACAGAATAACTGAAGGTATTATGTTTGCATGTTAGAGTTATTTCAATGTATAGCATGGACGAGAAGTTATTTTCCGTTATGGTCCGAATTTTAAACTATTTTCACTCCCAAAGGGTGAGTTACGCATTTTCTAATCTGAATTGTATTGCTCTTTCCACTGGTAAAATGACTTCAGATTTTAGAACTGGGCAGAAGAATGTCACGTTTAGTCAAATTAAATAAAACTGCAAGGGGTTAGCCTTGCATTTTGAAGAAATATGGTTCATGACTTGAATCTTTCCAAATTCCGATTTTGCCAATTTCAGCTAAAATACAATAAAATCCCAAGAGGTTTAAAATGTATTTTGAACTAAATGGGGCAAAAATTTAGATTTTCCGAAAATCACAATTTTGTCATTTTTCAGCCAATTTTGATAAAATTA